ATCTCCCTCTGACTTGGACAAGTGGCCCTCCATCACCTGGGCGATGGCCTCCCACCCTCAGGTGCCAGCCCACCCCCACCCTGCAGCCAGAGGGAGCTTTTTGCCTGTTGATGACGAGGATGATGAGGATGAAGATGACAAGCCCAAGGGCAGCAAACACTGACTTGGCACTGCCGACGCGCCAGACACGGACCTAAGCGCATGGTCAGAGGGGCCTCTGTCCTTAGCCCCATTCTGCGTATGAGAAAATCGAGGCACAGACGGGTCGAGTGACTTGATCAAAGTCACACAGTGGAAAAAAACAGCTGGGATGTGGTCCCTGCAGTGTGGCAGAGGGTCTGGCTGGGCAACAGGGTGGCTACCCCCAAGACAGGACCCACACAAGCGGGGGGTGCGGGCACAGTTCTTCTTCCTCTGTGATGGGGTGAGGGAGCATGAAGACACCCACCTCCAGGCTCTGAGGAGTGGCTGAAGGGCTGGGGCCAGCGTTCCCTGCACAAGTGTCCCGAGAGTGCCCCAGCTGGGCCGTCTGCCACTGGAAGGAAGGGGCTAGATTTTCAGAGGGATATGCAGGTTTGTGGGTCGGGGGCTGGGCTCTGAGCTGAGACAGCACAGGGGTTCGGCCACCTCCGTGAACCCCCAAAAGGCCTGGGGGCTGGGCTGGGGGCCACTCTGTGTGGGCTTGTTTGATATGGATGGAATCGCCTCCCCCAGAAAGACACACAGAGGTCCTAACCCTGGCACCATGAACGTGACCTTGTTCGGGAATAGGGTCTTTGCAGATGTGATCAGTTAAGATGGGGTCACGCTGGAGCTGCTTGGATTCCAACCCCATCCGATGGTGTCCTCATAAAAGAGGGGGCAAGATGCAGACAGACACGCAGAGGAAGACTCCATGTGAAGACGCACCTGCACACCGAGGAACACCTGGGGCCACCAGAAGCCGGAGGAGGCCAGGAAGGATCCTCCCCCGTAGCCTCCAGCGAGAGCGTGGGCCTGCTGACACCTTCCTTTCAGATGCCTGGCCTCCAGGGGTGAGGGACAATAACTGTCCCTTTGTACAAGCCACCCCGTTTGTAATGCTTTGTCCTAGCAGCCTCAGGAAGTCACACAGGGGCTGTGTGGCCATTTCCAGGCCCACACCTGGTGTGGATGTCCAAGGCCTCGCCCCACTAGGAAGCAGTCAGCTCCAGCGTTCCCCCCCAACTGGCTGTGTGCCCCCAGTCACCTGCAGACCCCAGTGCCATCAGCGGCACCTCCTCCCGCTCCTGGATGGACTCACCCGGTGCCCCAGAGCCAGCAGGGAGCCCGGTACATACTCAGACAGCCACTGGGTGCAGTGTGCTTTGCGATGCACAGACCTGCTCCTCCTGGAACTACCCGACTGTGAAGACATTTCCATGTCCAAGAGCACCCAGCCGGGTGCACAAGATGGGACACCATGTAGGGACACCATCGTCCCCACCTCCACCTGAGGGAGGACCCCAAGGAGACACCTGGAAGCCGGCCCCCAGTTCTCTGTCCCCCAGCTGGCTGGGTGGCTGGATGCTCGCCACTGTCACCACGTGGGGGAGGGGTTGCCAATGCTGCCCACAGAGCCCTGGAAGGACAGGGGCTTGGGGGAGGGCCCGTCAGCTCCTCAGTCCCCACGTGGTGCCTCTCCAGCATAGCTGCCGTCATCAATGAGGAGACGGAGGCCGAGCAGGTGGAGAGGAGATGGGGGGCTTTGAGCCGGGAGAGAAGAAGACAAAGAGGGGGCAAGAAGGCAGACGGTCGGGGCAGGGCGCCACCCGCCACAGGGGAGTTGGTAGGTCTGCTCTCTTTCCTGACTAACCGTCCCAGTTCCAGCACAAAAGTCCTGGGTCCGGGAGTCCCTCAGTCCCAGGCAGACACCTGGGCACAGGCCCGGCCAAGCGCCAGGCTCAGGGGAACACCGATTTGAGTTCCATCTGAGGGTCAGTGAGGTTAAGCAGACTACCCGCCAGGCGCTGTGTGCCGAGCACCCCCAGAAATGGGCTCGTTTCAGCTTCAGGGCACCCCAAGGACGCAAGTGCTTTAGGGTCCCCGTTTTATAGATGGCAGAGGCACAGCGTGATGAAGAGACTTGCCCACGGTCACGCAGCACTCCATGATACAGCCCGGAAGCCACGGGTCCAGGAAGTCCAGCCCGTGAGCATCCAGCGAGATTACCTCACACACACGGGCACACACAAATGCACAAGGCACATATGCATGCACACACATGTACACACATGTACACACACACAAACGCACACACAAAATGTGCGCACGCAAATGTAGACACAGACATGTGCATGCAGATGTACACACAAAAATTGCACACAGAGGCATACACACACAATTACACAAATTTACACACACATATACACAGACAGGTATGCACACTCCCGTGCAAACAAACGCGCGCACAGGAAATGGGGAACCTTGAGGAAGGGCCCCTGGGATGGGCCCAGATTGCTGTATTCTCTGCACGAGCAATACTGTGCTGAATCAGGGACCGTTAGGAAGGGTCTCTGAGATGTGCCCTGGTTGCTTTTTTCTCTGCATAAGCAATATTGTGCTGGAAGCTTCTACAGGTCCCTGGCCACACTGCCTTCGGTATCTCATTAGATTTCATACTGGGGAAGGGGACACTTTCTTTTTAAAGCTATAGTCATAATTCTAGCTAATGGTGTGAAGTAGAATTTGCCACCACTGGGGAATACCTTAATTTAGCTTTCAACTGTTCTTAGCACCTGGGACTTTTCCCTCAGGCCTCCTCCAAGCGAGAATCTAGACCAAAGCCGGGAACTGGATCTCACCGTTCCACTGCTGGAGAATGACTGGCTTGGGGTGTGGGGGTGTGAGCTTGGGGTTGTCCTGCTCCGAGAGTACCAGGGCCACTGAGGGGCCAGGAGGTGTGGGTGCCCACAGTACCTTCATCCACGCCTCTGCAGCTCTAAGACCCGGCCTCCAGGTGAAGCTCAGAGCCACCATTTCCCTTCCAGGACCCATGAAGCACTGGCACCCACCTAGAGCTCCCCACCAATCCCTGCATCCCCCTACACACACCGAGCTTGCAGAAGGGGCCGTAGTCCCTCTCCCCACGCCCCATCTCAGCTGAGGGCATGAAGGTGGCCCCAGACACACCAGTCAGTCCGGGCCAAGGCAAGTCCTTCAGAGGCTGGGGGCACGCGAAGGAGGCAAGAAGAACCAAGGACCGAGAGGCACAGTCAGACGTCCCCCAAACTGCACGGCCAGCCAGGAAAACAGGCCTGCAGGCTCTACCCGGCCACCAGCTGTGCTGAGGACAGCTCAGGTCGCCAGAGGCCCAGGACGAGTCCTGCCTCAGCTCCACACTGGCTGTGTGACCCGGGCCAAGTTACTAACCCCTGGGTGCCTCAGTCCCCTCATCTGGAAAATGGGACGACAGCAGTACAGCCTCTCAGAGGCACCGCGTGGAGGGAAGCGAGTGAGGGCTAGAAGGGGGGAGCTGTAACAGTGATTGATCACGACGCCTGCCACCAAACGCAGCCCCTGAGGCCCAACAATGACCTGGCCCGAGAAGGCTCCTCCTCGCCCGAGGAGCTCTGGAAAGCGACAGGGTGGGAAGCTCTGAGTGCGAATCCAGCCCCTCTTGATGCGTGGGAGGGGGAGTGTGGGGGGAGGACGCAGACCTGAGTTAGATGCCCGGGGGGTCCGGCTCCCCTCCGTCTGCCCTGCCCTGTCTGCTCCTCTGGAAAACAGCTCCCGCCGCGGGGCGGATGCAGAGACGGGCTGACGCTGGGATACAAAGTCCCCAGGCCTCAGCGTGAGCCGACACCGTTCCACCTGCTGTTGTTACACCTGGGCCGCCGCGGGCCTTAGCACACGACCTCGCCTTGCTCAGCCTCAGTTTTCACTCTGTGCCAGGGTCTCACAGGCACCAGGACCCCTTGTCATTGAGTTGATTCTGACTCAGAGCAACCCCACGTGACAGAGCAGAACTGCCCCATGGGGTTTCCAAGGAGCGGCTGGTGGATTCAAACTGCCAACCTTTTGGTTGGAGCCGAGCTCGTAACTGCTGCGCCACCAGGGCTCCATTGCCACCAGAGTGAGCATGAATTTCTGAGGCTGCAGCTCTGCAAACGTGCCATTGGGAGGCGCCCAGCACAGAGTAGCTTTGCAAACGCGCCATTGGGGGGCTCCGCCTTTGCGCCCCAGGCTCATCCACACTGAGGCCAGGAGGCAGTACGCAGAAGGAAAGCAGGCACGCACCCCAACAGTGCTCTGGGCCTCCTGGCAGGCTCTGCCTGGCCTCCCCACTGACCCAGCTCTGTCCTGAGCAGTCACCATGACCGCGATGCCCAAGATGATGACCTCAGAGACAGCTCACACGGGCAGTGGGCAGACACACGTTTAAAGTTTCCTCAACAATGTGAGCTTGGAGGTAAACAGGCTTTCCGCATAACCTGTGGGCAAGTCCCAAGTTCAAGAAACTAGGACCACAGTGCACGGGATCTTTTCTCACTGGTCCTAGTGGCAACCCCACCACCCTGACAGCTACAGGCGCAGCCTGGCCACTGCCAGCTCCCAGCCCTGCCACTCTACCAGCCCCAGCCCTGGCCACCTCACAGACCCCCAGCCCTGACCACCTCACTGACCCCCAACCCTGACCACCCCGCTGACCCCCAGCTCTGGCCACCTCGCTGACCCCCAGCCCTGGCCACTGCCAGCCCAGCCCTGGCCACCCTGCTGACGCCCAGCCCTGGCCACCCCGCTGACCCCCAGCCCTGGCCACCCCGCTGACCCCCAGCCCTGGTCACCGCCAGCCCGGCCCTGGCCACCCTGCTGACCCCCAGCCCTGGCCACCCCGCTGACCCCCAGCCCTGGCCACCTCGCTGACCCCCAGCCCTGGCCACTGCCAGCCCAGCCCTGGCCACCCCGCTGACGCCCAGCCCTGGCCACCGCCAGCCCGGCCCTGGCCACCCCGCTGACCCCCAGCCCCACTGGCTCCTTACCCGACGTCCCAGTGCTGCTGCGGCCGCCTGCCATCCTCACCGCTGCCGCCCAGCCTGTTGAGCGAGGGCGACCGGCTGTGGGGCCCGGGGATGTAGCTCCCGAGGGTCTTCACGGTGCCGTCGGGGGTGCCCGGCATGTGCTGCAGCAGCTGCGGGGAGAGGCTGCGGTGGGAGGGGGCCGCGGAGCAGACGGGCCAGGCGGGCGCGCCCACATGGAGGTTGTTGTCGCTGTTGGAGCGCAGCAGCACCCGGGGCGCGGCCAGCGTGTTGGGGGGCCGCCGCCTGCGGTTTGAGTACGCCGGGGCCTCTCGGAAGGGCACTGGGGGCGGAGAGAGCAGGGAGAGGTGTGGTAAGGTCAGGCCTGGCTGGGCGGCCCCCGGACCCGTGGTGGACACGGGCAGTGCAGGCGGGGGACGCGGGCAGGCACGGGTCTGTCTGCACCACCCCCTGCAAACACCTCCAAGGACAAGCCGGCTGTGAGTTCTATGTAGAGGCCCAGTTGGACCCCACAAAATGCAGAACTCACCCCACGCAGAAGCAGGGAGACGGGTCGGGGCTGAGTAAGTCACCACTTAGTGGAAACTCAAGCTCTCGCTTGATATGGAAGGGACTCTGTCTGAGCTTCCATCAGGGCCAGCATCCGCGCCCTCTGCAGCCCAGGAAGATGCCGGCCACCCGACCCGTGTGAAGATGGGGTCTCCATCTCACCAAGTTGGGGCGACGCGGTGCTAAAGCTGCTGCAAAGCTCCTCCTGGGGTGACCTGAACTTGGCCTCCAAGCCTATGGGTGTCCTCAGTCCGTTGTTGCTGTTCCTTGCCATTGAAGCTTCCCCAACGCACGGTAACCCCACGTGTCACAGAGCAGAACCGCTCCAGAGGGGTTTCTTGGATGTAATCTTTACAGTGGAGCTGCTGGGTGGGTTCGAACCACCAACCTTTCGGTTTCTCAGTTGATCGCAAACGGCTGGCGCCACCCAGGCTCCTCCTGAATCAGCCTACTTCACCCCAAAGTGTGCTCCTTGTGCCAGCCCGTTAAAGCAGCCCGTCATACAGGGCAGCAGGACAGGGCCGGCCTCTCTGGCCTTCCTGAGGTTCTAGGCTAGAGGCGAGGCCCTGGGTCTCTGGAGCTCAGTGTGCCCAGGGCCTTGGAATGAGGACAACTGCCCACAGGAGACCCTCGGGGACAGTGGCATCGATGCTGCCACTGCCCCAGATGGTTCTGAGGGCTGCCACCAGAAACAGGGGTGTCCTTCCCCAGACGGGGCATAGAAGGACAAGGAGCCCCTCGGGCTGCAGAGGAAACAGACACCAGCGACCTTTCACTGCAAAGACGCTGAGCAGCCTTTTAGCTCTTTCCCGCCTTAGGCATCTTTGTCCTTTGCCACCAGCATTACACCCCTTGGGTTGAAGCCCACCTGGCCCTAGATTTTGGACAGCCCAAGGCTAGACTGCCGCTGGACAAACTGGTGGCCGAAAATGATGGAAGTCACGTGTCCCGAAGAAGGGACTCCTCACATCTCAAAGTGGGAGAGCGTCAAAGTGATTTTGACACAGAACGGGGACACTCCATCACCCCTGCCTGCCAAACGCCAGATGGCCTTGGTGAAGGATGCCAGAGACCAAGGGTGGCTGCATCCCTTCACCGGGCCTGACAGCAGTGGCCGGACATCAGCCCGCGCTCTACACGGCTCATTCCCATGCTGGATGGCGGAGCTCCGTGGCACAGCGGTGGCCCTGGCGGAGCTCATGGGAACAGAGGTGGCCCTGGAGGAGCTCAGGGGACAGAGGTGGCCCTGGTGGAGATCAGGGGGACAGAGGTGGCCCTGGTAGAGATCATCTGGGACAGAGGTGGCCCTGGTGGAGCTCAGGGGGA